ATTAAATGTCATGTGTACCTTATTGTTCATAATTATAACTCTTCAAAATTATAGAAATTATTAGGACAGTGCTTATTGAAACTTCCACTAGAGAGATGTATATTATAACATATATACATATAAATATATCCAGTAGAATATTTAAAGATCTTTGTATTATTTTGATTACTTTTTCTTTTGTTTCCTCTTATACATTATAATACAATTCAAAACTGGGGAACATCGATTCCAAAGTCTCACTCCACTTTGGCTTCATTTTTACAATGAAATTTTCCCACCCTTTAAAGCATTATGCTTGTTAGCGCATGATGTTTTTAGTGTTGTTAAATGATAGTCTCCAGCTGAAATATATCAGCCTAATCAATTTCTTCTAGAGATACAAAAGCTGAACTCAGGCATGTGAGAAACACTTTTTCTGGGAAGGAAGGCGTTCGGGAACCTTTAGGTCACCTGATATAGATAGCGCTGCTCTTTTGTCTGCGTTTTTCAATCTACCACTCCTGCCAGGATTCCCCTGTACATGCTTCTTTCCACAGACATGCTAATAGGTACCTGGAAGTTCGGGTCTTATTAAAATTTGAATATGGTTTCTTTGTTTTATATTTTGCAATATAATTTATGGTTTTGAGCTTGAGAGTATGGAATATTCTTCGTTTGAACACTAATCAAATTATTACACATAGGGATTTATTAGAGTTGGAAATGGATGCACGGGTCGTTCCTCTGTTTTGTAGATGGAAGAATGAACTCTAATGTCCGATGGACAATTTTGAATCCCTTGTAACTTCTAAGTCTGCTTTCCAATTATTTTAGAACACCAAGCACATAAAAGTGATGACAGAAAAATATATCTTAGATTTTACAATGTGCATATCTTCCTAGATCAATTTTCCCTTATTTCCACTCATCCTAAAAAATAAATGAAGAAGTCAATAATTTAGACAAAATTCAAATTACCCCATTTTAAATTAGTTCTTAGTATCACACATTTCTACAATTTAAAAAAACATTCATTTTAGGGGCCTGCAAGATAGCTCAGCAGACTATGTACCTGATTTGGCAAGCACAGGGACGTGGGGTCAGTCTCTGGCTGGTCCCACCCCCAGGGTGCACTGAGCCAGTGAACAAGTGAGGGTGGGGTGGTGCACACCTGTAGTCCTAGTGCAGGCAACGCTGAAAACAGAAGGATCACTATGAGTCTGAGCTGTGTTTGAGACCCTGTGCTAAATGCATAATTGAAAAGGAAAATAATAAATAAATGAATAAATAAATAAAAACATACATTTTAAACTTCAACTTTGTTTGAATTTTGTAGGTATTCACAAGTTAGTATTTGGGCAGGCTTTATATTCTTATTTTGTTTAAAACATAGTAGCAGCCAATCATTTTATTCAGTTTTAAACCCAAAATATGATTTTGCTTTTCCTCCTTCTCTTCCTGTTGTTGTCATTGTTCCTGTTCTTCCTCCTCTTCCTCCTCTTTTCCTCTTTCTCCTTCTCCTTCTTATTCTTCTCCTTGTTTTTCCTTGCTCATGAGTTAATGAGACAATAAAATAAACCCTGACCTATAGTTCTTTTCTACAACTCCTCACCCTACTCCAGCATTAAGAGATTCTGGGTAGAAGTCCATCCTTAGTCCATCCTTAAAAATATCAGTGGTGAAAAGCGGCTCTTAAGGCATCTTAATATTTCACTAAAATTGCTGACTTTGAAAATGCTAAGAATACAGTGAAGAAAAAGTAATTAAAAGATGCATTTTTTTTGTTTTGGTTTGGGTTTGAGTTTGGGTGTTTTTTGTTATTTTTTGTTTGTTTTATTTTATTTTTTTGGTACCAGGAATCTGATTCATGACCTTGCACATGCCAGGCAGGTGCTGTGCATTTAAGCTACATCCCTGGCAAACAAAAGGTACATTTTAAAAGATAAAAAAGCAGAAGACATGTAAAAGACAGGGTTGATGTTAAGAAATGAATGAGAACAGGCAAAAAGGGGGAAAAACTGACAAAAGCACAAAGAACAAGTAGAAATATTACTTGAGTAAAAAGTAGAGAATTGGGGCCGGGGAGATGGCTCAGTAAAATAAGCGCTTCCCTGGCAAGTGCAGGGATCTGAGTTCAATCCCTGGTTCTGA